AAAAAAAAAACACTTTTGTAGTGCCCTATATAATAAATGTGAAATAGTAATATGATTTTTATTTTTTTTTAGGAACTTTTCTCTAAAGAATGTCCATTAGCATGTCGAAATTTTGTTCAATTATGTATGGATGGTTATTATGATGGTACAGTTTTTCATCGAGTTGTTCCAAATTTTATTGCACAAGGTGGTGCTCCAACTGGAACAGGTGAATTCTTTGCAGTAAATCATAAATTAAATTAAATTTTATTTTGTTTCTATATAAAAAAAAAACGTTAGGATGAATTTCATACACGTTTACGTTTTAATCGTCGTGGTCTTGTTGGTATGGTTAATCAAGGACCAAATATTAATGCTAGTCAATTCTTTTTTACTTTGGGTAGTACTCCAGAACTTGATAAAAAGAATACATTATTTGGCAAAGTTGTTGGTAATACATTATTTAATATGTTGAAATTAGGTGAAGGAGAAATTATTGGTGAAATACCAGTACATAAACATAAAATAATTAAAGCAGAAGTAAGAAATGAGAGAAAAATTTATAGTTTTAAAAGATTATATTTTATATGTATATAGATTATATCAAATCAGAGATGTCCATGGCGCCGCTGCCGCTGCCGCGACGCGACCGCCATGGCGGCAGCGGCAGCGGTAGCGGCAGATTTTTTGCGAAATCATCGCGGCAGCGGCAGCGGCAATTTATCTACTTTGGCTGCCGCGCCGCGCCGCGACAGCGGTGAAAATTTTCGAAAAATTTCTCCAATTTTTTTCGAATAAATTTTAAGGCTTGAAATTATAATTCTGTCGTGATTCAGATTAGTGAGAACGTTTTTCTCGATCAACAGACTTTTAAGGCTATTCCATCGACTAACAGAAAGAGAAATATTAATATTGTGTAAATAAATGATGATGCTATTTGAAAACATGTTAATAGCAATTATAGAATATGTATGCTGCTCTGTTTTAATTGACGTGCGTTTTTATCATTGTCAATCTCGTTTCATAGGCACAATAAAAACAATATATGTTAAAAGTCGATATGCGTTTTTTTAATAATGAGCGATGCAAAAGTCTTTGCCCAAATATCAAATCCTGTTAGACCATATTACCAACTTCTGAATCAATCGATTTTCCTTGTTAGAAAGAACAAAGTCTGAACTACAAATTTTTTATCAGACATATTTTTCCAGAACGAATCTGAGACGGAGGAAAAGCCAAAAAGCAAACACCTCTGAAAAAGTTCTTGCAACTTCACCATCGAGCAACATCATTTTCTATTTTCTGTTAGTTTCTTTTTATATTAGAAGAGGAGTGAGAAAAAACGTTCAATGATGTTTTTGTAGTAAAAATAGTGCTCTTTCTAATGATGTATTGGAAGTTAAATCTATTCCTAGTTTTTGTATCAACAAATAGCTTTATCTGAAAGAGACTGAGTCATTTGGTCGTTCTCACTACTTGATCGTTTTACATCGATAAAAAATATTTTTTGAATAGATTTTTTTCTGCTAAAATTCTACGATTAGATATATTTCGACCAAATAACGCGAAAAGAATTCAGTTCATGCATGATTTCTGGAGATGATGGCTGATATTTTTGTAAACTGATAGTTCTTGAAAAGGCTCAATTTTGCAAAAATGTCGTGTTTCAAACTTGTTTGATTAAAGAGTCAAGAATGGATCCCAAAATGTGTCTCAAAGCTGATATTATAGAGTTTTTAATGTGCTACATTTTGATGTATGTTTTCTTCAAATTTGACCTATGCAGCTTAAAATAATTGAGAAATACAGACTTTTCAAGTTGCAAAAGGCGTTGCAAGAACTTTTTTAGAGGTATTTGCTTTTTGGCTTTTCCTCCGTCTCAGATTCGTTATGGAAAAATATGTCTGATACAAAACTTGTAGTTCAGACTTTGCTCTTTCTAACAAAAAAAAATGATTGATTCAGAAGTTGGTAATATGGTCTAACAGGATTTGAGATTTGTGTAAAAACTTTTGCATCGCTCATTACTTAACGCCTTTGAATAATATAATAAATTTGTTTTTATACGTTTGTAGTTTTCCTCATGATGAATATTTATTAAGTGGATTCTGATCGATTTTTGAAGAGTCAGACAATTTTATTACACACTCTATTAATATTCTTTAGAAATCTATAAGATCCATAGAGTCTATCGGGATCTGTTTTTCACCCTTGCATTTGGTGCAGTAATTCATGAACTTTATAATACATATTTTTTTTATTTTAGAGACGAACACATTTTCTAGACTGTATTCTTTGTACTGTCGCGGCAGTGGTGCGGCGGCGGCGCGGCAGCAGCAGATTTTTTTCCAGTAAGCCGCGGCGCGGCAGCGGCGCGTTACATTTCAATGTGGACGCGATGCGGCAGCGGTGCGGTAGCTTTCGTTTTTCTGACAAACGCGGCGCGGTAGCGGCGCGGCACCATGTTTTTTAAACGACGGCGGTGCGACAGCGGCTAATTCTCAGCCGCGATGGACATCTCTGTATCAAATCCATTTGATAATATGGTATCTCGACCTCGAGCTAAATCACAAATGATTGATGATGATAATGATGAAATAAATAAAAAATCGAAAGAAACTGTACAAGCTAAAGCAATCAAGTAGAATTTTTCTATGAAGTTAAAACAAGAATTTGAAATTCTTTGTTTTTTTTTATAATTAGAAATTATGCTCTTCTTTCATTTGGAAATGAAGCTGAAGAAGAAATAACAAAAATTTCAATGGTATAGATATATTTCATTTGTCTTTTTTTGTTTTTTCGTTTCTTAATTTAATAGTTTTCTAGACATTCAAACAAAAAGGAACGGGAAAAAGTGCACATGATTTAACTAATGATTCAACATTAAGTAAAAATACAGCTGAATTAAATGAAAATAATGAAGAATTACCAATAGAAAAACAAAATTTTAAAATAAAAGAAAAAAGTGATGCAGATTTTGATAAAGAAGAACTTGATCGAGTACGACAAAAATTTAATGCAAAAAAATTAGCTCAGCAAGAAAAGAAAAAAACGCTTCAACTTGATATTGATGATGATGATGATAATCAAAAAGATATTTCAACAACAAAATCGTAAATATAAAATACAACAAAAATATTTTGATTTATTTAGTATTGTCTTTTTTTTGATAGAAATGAAAATGTTAAACTTGAAATTGAACGATTAAAAAAAGAATTAAAACAAACAAAAAAGTCATCATCAGCATCCACACCCAAATCATCAGAAAATGTCGTTCAAGTAGAAACAGAACGTAAGTATTGTTTAATGATATTTAGTATATTCTAAGAATTCCAGTTTGAACGGATAAATCCATTCGAAAGTATTGAACTTTTTTCGGTCTTACCAAGATCTATTTCATATTTCAAGAATACATGAGGATATTCATCCTATTTTTAACTGACAATCATATTTTATGAGTTTATTTCAAATTTAGCTGCACCTGCATCTATTCAACCAGTTATCTCAAGTACTACTACATTAATGGATGAATTAATGGCAGGTACAAGATGAAACAATAAAAAAAATCATAGTAGTCATTCAAATTCAAGAGAATCTCAAGCTTGTTCATCAGTTATTTTTGTACTGAATAAAATATTCAAATTTAATTTTTAGACACTTGATTTATTAGAAATATTTCGTGTAAAAGTTCATACTGCTAAAGATGAACAAATTAGTGAACCTTTAAATGAAACACAATCCGAACAAATAGGTGATAAAGTTCAAACACCATTTTTAAAACATACTTTTGTATCTCAAGAATTATTAGATAATGTTCAAGATATTTATACGAATGCTGAATTATTAACTGTATATGATCCAAGAAATCCAATGGCTAAACGACGACGAGATGAAAATAGTATGTTACTTCATCAAAAAAAACATAAAGGACGTACATAGAATAAATGTTGTTGTTGTGGTTTTGTTCATTTGTGCATTATGTAATTTATTTTCTTGATGATATAAAATAAATCGTTCCATAGAAAATATAACAAGAAAAAAAAAGGAATTATTTTTCTTTATTGTATTCAGATAAATTATGCAACATTCATGTTCACATACATGCCAACATGTTGATGAAACAAATGTTGGTCGATGGAATTTATATACAAAAATTGATAAATATAATTTACAATGTTATAATGAAAAACATGATAGTTCAGGTAAAGATGTATTTCGAGCATGAGAAGAACGACTTGATCGATCAAAATTATATTTTGTATTTGATTTATTCAAATAAAATATTATGGATAGGTTTTTTTTAAAGGTAGTTGAAAGTGATGATGAACAAGAATTACTTTTCAGTATACCATTTAATGGTGCTCTAAAAATAACTGGTCTATGTGTTATTGGTGAAAATGATCCATCACATCCAAATACAGTTAAATTATATGTGAATATATCTTCTTCTACATGCAATAATGTTCAGTGTCTGTCTGTCTGTCTGTTTCTCTGTGCCGGGTCAAAGGTCAAATAAGACTCTAAGGGAGAGATCTCTAGAGCCTATTTTATGGGGTACTTATAGATCCTCACGGGCTATCCTATGGGAGTACCCATAGGTTCTCCAGAGCTATCCTAAGAGGGTACCTATAGGTCCGCCAGGGCTATTCTATGAGGGTATCCATAGGTCCTCAAGGGCTATGCTAAGACGGTACCCATAGGTCCTCCAGGGCTATCCTATGGGGGTACCTATACCTCCTCCAAGGCTCATCTATCAGGTACCCACAAGTTCCCAAGTGCTATCCTATGGGGGTAGCTATAGGTCCTCCAGGGCTACCCTACGGGAGAACGCATAGGTCCTCCAGGGCTACCCTATGGGGATATCCATAGGTCCCCCAGGGCTATGAGATGGCGGTACCTATAGATCCACAAGGGGACCCTACGGGGTACCGATAGGTCCCCAAGTGCTATTCTATGGGGGTACCCATAGGTCCTTCAGAGCTATCCTTTGAGGGTACCCATAGGTCCTCAAGGGCTATCCTATGGGGGTACCCATAGG